ATCAGAGCGTCCTAGTAGACAGCGATAAGCGAGTAATAGATATAACTAGGTACTAGTAAGGGTAGAATACTATAGTTATGAGGGAGGAGAAAAGTAGATAGAGAGAAAAAGGCGATATAGTAGTAGAATAAAGAATATATATACCTAAAAAGTAGTAGTAACTATAAAAGAGGTAAGTCATATATAGAGGTAAACTAAGTAAGTTATAGTTAGGATATATACGATACTACTAAAGGTAGAATTAAAATAGTAGCTAGGATAGTAAAATACGAATGCGGTAGTATTGTACAAATAGTAATAGTACTAGTAGAAAGTTAGTCAAGAAGGTAAGAAAAGTAAAGGAAACTATACATAATAGTAGGACCTAACATAATTAGCGGAGAGGAAGGATATATATACTACGAGGAGAAAGGATAAAAGGGTATAGGATAGGAGTTCTGATTATAACATACAGAACTAATAGTATAAGGAACTAGAGTAAGAATAGAAGTAAGTGATAACTGGGAATATAATATAGGTGAAGTAGACTCAGCTAGGGTAAAAAGGGAGGAAAAATAAAAGAGGGTTTAATAGCTATAGTAAGTACGATAGGCATAGAAGAAAAGCTATAAGGAAGTAGCGCTAGAAAACTAAGGTAGAAAGGAGGGGTATAATCTAGTACAATAAGATACGAATCATTCGCCGTTAATACCAGTTTACCAGAGAAGACCGCTCAGAACACCGCGCTATCCACGTACACTACGATACTAAGCGAACCGTCAGTGGGGTACAAGCCCTCAGAGCAGGGACACTAATCTAAATACCCCACTAGCTACTCTAAGTCAGAATAAGTAGTCTCGGGGTATGTAAAGATATCTAGACGCTCGATATCATTAGATCGCGTAGGCCTACGTAAGTAGCATCGGTAAAGCATAGCTTAGGTACTAGATGAGTTAATGGGAAACTAGTAATAATAAAAGTAAATACTATAAAAAGGATAGGGTAACTATAAACTAGGTAATATAGTAAGAGTAATAAGAGTAGGATAAATAAAATAGTATGGTATAACTAACTATATATATAAATAGGTATAGGTAGACTAGTAATTAGTCATATAGTCTAAGGTAAATAGGGTAAGTATCATCTGAAGGGGGGTACCTACTCTCCGTCCATCCTTTCTATCCTTCAGCTCATGTATAATCACTACAAGCAAGTAGCTCCGAAGAAAGTGGGTAAAAGTAGTCACCGTTCGGTCCATCAATTACCTCCAATCTACTGTCTCAGGAGCTACAGATAATTAGACATCTACAGCAGTACTCTCGCTATGGACGATCGGCCGTCCATACGTCATATACAACGACCGTCCTAATAAGAATAAACCCCCCAGGATACTCTCAAATCTACACTACTCCGTCAATCGTAACTAGTTCATAACGGTCTAAGGCTTAGTAATATCGTCGAAAGGTATCAGTAGTATAGGAATATCGAGTCTCCGGCTCGCCGCTATCAACTAGAGTATCCGTAAGGTAAGTACGCTCGACTACTAGTGAGTACGGCAGGATAAGTCCAGTAATTATAAGCGCGCTAATTCGTCACGTATAAGTAGGTCTATAACTCAGGTCAGTACCACAGAGCGTGCGCTCGACTATTATAGGAATAAAAAGTATAGCGTCGCGAGCTCAGAGGGGTCGCGGCGTCAGACTACAAAAGTAGATAGCGTGAGTCAGAGGATACAGTATCACATCAAGTCGATCCTCTATCATCGTCGTAAAAGAAGTACTAGGTTCCGTAGCGTCATATCCAGAATCCACCATATCGCTCCCTCCAGTCCAGGAGCCTCATAAAGGACTAGGTTAGTAGTCTAGAGTAACAGTACTCGTCACACAGTATAAGCCCCAGGTCCTCGCTCGGTCCACATATCGCTACCTCACGGTCTCTCTGCCGCTCCTGTCGCACTCTCGCTCGCTCCTCATCCTCCGCTCGTCACGCCTCATCGTCGTACCGCGGCGCTCCCCCATCCCCTATCTCGCTCTCTGCGGCCGGTCTCCCGTACGTCCCGGAGACGGTCTCGGGCGGGTATCTCGTCGTCTCGCCGGTCCGGGGTGCCCTCGACCAACGTGGTCCCCTACTCGCGTTCGTCCGTCATCTCACGCGTCGTCCCCTCTCCCCCGGTCCATCTCTATCGCGGGTACCCGACGCGTCCCTCGGCTCCCTATCGGCTCTCGTAATCAATCGGCCTCGCGTCGCTCCCACAGTCGCTCTCCTCGCCACACTCGCCGGTCCTCCGCCTCCGGAGCCTCGATACGTCCCGCCGCTCTCCCTCCGGCGAAATAGCTCATCCGTACTAGTCGGTCGCCTCATCTCTGTCGGCCGTCTTCTCCCCTCCTCCCGCGTCCGGCTCCGTCCTACCTCCTCTCGGAGCTCCGCCGCGCGGCGGGCGCTTCTGTCTCGTACGTCCCGACGCTCTCTCGGTCCTCAGACTCACACCGCGACCCCGCCTCCGTCGTCTCGCCCTCCTCCACAGCCTCGGCGCTCACGTTACCGCGCTCTCTACTTCGTCGCATTACTAGTATTAGTAGACTAACTAAGGGTAACTAATAAGGGAGAAGTAGATAACTATAGCTATAATAAAGCCTATTATAAAACTAAAAATAAGTGGTAGGAAAGAATAGTAGAAGTATATAAGTAAGAATTTAGTAAAGTAATAGTAAAAGAAAATAATTACCGAATAAAGTAGAACTAAATATAGGTAAAAGATAACCTTCATACCAGTAACATGTGAATGTCTTGATAGAGTGATACGGCAGATCGAAGTAGAGGTACGTACCTTGTGAAATGTATCTTCTTCATGTCTTGATTATATATTACGTCTACAAGAGAAAGGAAGATAAGTTTATATATTAAGTTCAGTACCTACAGATCACTCCCCCTCGTCCCCTCGCCTCCGTCCTCGGGCTCCTCGCTCGTCCCGTTCGTTCCCCGGCTCCGTCGATCCGTCTCCTCGTCGCGTCGCCGGGGTTCGCCCTCTCTCCCCCGCCTCGCTCCTCCACTCGGCGGTCGGTCTCGCCGCGTCTCCACTCGTCCTCCGATCCGGTCGGCTCGTCCGGGCTCTTCCGCCCTTCGCCTCCGCTAGCTCCTCACGGCCGGCCAGTCGTGCGGCAACTCGCGCCCCCCTACACGTGTAAGGAACTAAAGGGAGTAAGCTAGAAATAGAAGTAAAAGTATTAGAGCAGTAATTAAGGACGTAGTATATAAAAAGAGTTATATAAGGAATAGTAACGGGGATAATAATAGATAATAAAAGAAGAAAAAGGAAAGGTCTAGGAGGGTATAATATGTAGAAACTATAAATAGATATAACTAGAATATATAAAAGGGGTAGTAGAAGTAGATAATAGTATAATGACTATAGTGGTAACTATATGTTAAAATATAAGTAATTTAGTAATAGTAGATATAGAGACTAGAAGTACTAGAAATACTACGTAAACGATAGGTAAATAAAAGAAGTTGTACTTAAAGGAAAATAAGGATAGATACTAAGGTAAAAGAAAAGTATAAGTAATTAGGTATAAAAGGTATAGAAAAATAATAAGAGTTAATAATAAGAGAGATAGACTAGGAAATATTTAAAGTAATAATATAGATATAAAGTAGACTATATAAGGCATAATATAAACTAATAATAGAGTTATTAATAATAGGGAAAAGGATAGGAGATAGGTAAGTAAAAGAATATAGAGTACTAAAAATAACTAAGGTACTATAAGTAGTAAGCTAGTATAAAAGAAATATAAAATAAGTAGTAGGTAAATAAGTATAATAGTAGAACTTCATGTCTACTCTCTACTCGGGTGTTAGTCAAGGGTGTAATACGACAATCAAGTATATCCTACACATATGGCCAACTCGTACTCTGTCTTGTTCGCTAATACAGTTATCCTCGTAAGGAGCATGGCTATCTGTACAGGTCAACCTCACTTTTACTCTTCCATCTCCAATGTATGCAGAGTCAATGCGTCTAGACTAGCATACTCGGTAGTAGGACTACACATTACACCCTACCATCCTGTTACCTCCCTATCATACCGCATAATACAGATTATACAAGCCTGTCTAGTATCCAGTCCTTATCTTATGTTAAATTCTCATCACGATATCACTCCCTATATTAGCTGTAGTATCGACTAGTAATACAGTAACGATTCACCTATAACTTCAAATTCTAACTAGTCAGTAAAATAGGTAAATGGTCACTAACGAACTAAGCTATGATTCCACGTAATAGGTAGCTCAGGCTAAGCACTAAAAAATAGTAAAGATAGTAAGTAAGCTAAACTAGCAGCTAACTGAAGGGAAGATAGATAAATAGAGTAATATAAATAACCTAAGGCAGTAGAGAAAACAAACGTAGAAGAAAATAGTTAGGTAGAAGGTAAGAGATAGTAAGTAATTAAATAAATATAAAAGTGAGCACTAGCGAGATAGGGTAATAGGTAAGTAAAAATCTAGAGTAAGATAGTGTAATAAAGTAACTATAGGCTAATAAGATATATATGAAGGGTAGGGAACACTATAGGAATAAGATATAGAAGGAACTAATAAAGGTAGTAAGTAAAGCCAAGAATCCCTGTTATCCACTAACAGCCTGTACAATGTACTTGATGGTTTAAGGGTAATTTTCTTTATGCCAGTTGTGTGTTACGTGGTGGCATCAAAGCCTGACTACCCCTGCAAGGTGGCCGTGCTCACTAGGTACCTGTCTGGGCATAGAAAATGCTAGGGCCGCCAAACAGGCACCAGGAGAAGATGGCTAAGGAAGGAATGGGGCCTATCCTGTTAGCTTACTTTGTAACATTGAGTCTACTTTGGTTTTTATGATAAAACACAGCAGGGGTAGAGGAGAAAATAACTTAAAATTCTGGAAAACTTAGAGAAACAGTGACACTCTAGTAACTTACTACATGTGAAAAATTGGTGCTTTTCCTGGATTTTGCCTAGATTTTTTTCTCCCAAATAGTATATTCTAGTCATATCTAACTGTGCTGTTCTGTGTCTAGATGAACAAGAGAACTGGGCAACCCATGATCCACATCTACCTGGACAAGGAAACAGGAAAGCCCAAAGGCGATGCCACAGTATCCTATGAAGACCCACCTACTGCCAAGGCTGCCGTGGAGTGGTTTGACGGTAGGATGTACTCAGTGGCATTTTTCATCTCCCCGCCTATGGAGTATGGCCAGAGGGAGGAAATTGAGAACCATAGGAGCAAGAAGACCTTCCGTCCGTTCCTGGGGGGAGTGGATTGCCAGTCTCCCTTCAGTAGTTCTAGGACTCAGTCATTGACCCTGGATTCGGAGATCCCTTTATTTTGGGGCATTAGTATTACAAATCCACCTTGGTTAAAATGGCAAACACTTCTCTAAGCACAGATTATTAGAAGATAAACCTTTTGAGAGGGTTTTAGGCCGGACACGGTGGCTCATGCCTGTAATCCGAAGATTTTTGAGAGGCCGAGGCTGGTGGATCACAAGATCGGGAGTTCGATACCAGCCTGGCCAACATAATTAAACCCCATCTCTACTAAAAATACAAAAATCAGCCAGGAGTGGTGGCACATACCTGTAGTCCCAGCTACTTGGAAAGTTGAGGCAGGAGAATCGCTTGCCCTGGAGGTGGAGGTTGCAGTGAGCTCGATTGCACCACTGCACTCCAGGCTGGGCAACGGAGCAAGACTCCATCTCAGAAAAACATCTTAGCCAGTGTACATTTTGTGTATAGATAAATATATGTATTTATATAAGGCCTTGACATTAATGCTGGGAAGTCACTTCTGACAAAACCAACTTGAAAGCATTGAATGACTTGGCCAGGTCCAGTGGCTTGCACCTGTAATCCCAGCACTTCGGGGGGGCCAAAGCAGGTGGATCACTTGAGTCCAGGGGCTCAAGACCAGCCTGGGCAACATGGCAAACCCTGTCTCTACAAAAACTAGCTGTTCAGGAGGCTGAGGTAGGAGGATCACTTGAGCCCGCAGAGTTTGAAGCTACAGTGAGCTGAGATCACACCACTGCACTCCAGCCTGGGCAACAGAGCAAGACCCTATGTCAAAGAAAGTGTCAAATAACAAGTCCTGGCTCTCTTTTCTTGGCCATGCAGTCAGCCCCCACCAGCTTACTTTTCTCCTTACAGTAGACAGTGTTTTTTGCCTTTCTTTTTTTCTTTTTTTTTTTTTTTCTTTCCTGGACAGTCTTCCCCTGCAACCTCTGCCTCACAGGTTCAAGTGAATCTTGGGTGTCAGCCACTCATATAGCTGGTAGACCACAGGCACACATCGCCATACCCAGCTAACTTTTCTATTTTTAGTAGAGATGAGGTTTTGCCATGTTGGCCAGGCTGTGGAGAGGTTTTTAAGTATTACAAGTGTGGCCTTTTACGGCCAGACATGATGGCTCTTTCCTATAAGCCTACCATTTTAGGAGGCCAAGGCAGGAGGACTGCCTGAACCAAGGAGTTCACCAGCCTGGGCAGTGTAATGAGACACTGCTTCTGCAAGAAATTTTGTAAAATTAGCCAGGCGTGGAGGTGCGTGCCTGTAGTCCCAGCTACTTGGGAGGATTGTTTGAGCCTGGGAGATTAAAGCTGCAGTGAGTTATGCCACTGCACTCCAGCCCTGGCAACAAAGTGAGACTCCCATCTCAAAAAATCCTTTTTCTGGCCTTGCCAGTAAAGATCTTGGAGAAGAATACAGGAGGGGCAGACCTGTTTGATCTGGGAGTAGTCATTTGATGTCGTAGAGTTGGTAAACAGCAAATATAGGGGCATTAATTGATGTTCTGTTGTCTTGTTCCAGGTAAAGACTTTCAAGGGAGCAAACTTAAAGTCTCTCTTGCTCGGAAGAAGCCTCCAATGAACAGTATGCGGGGTGGTATGCCACCCCGTGAAGGCAGAGGGATGCCACCACCACTCCGTGGAGGTACTGTCTGAGCTTCTATATTGCATGAAAAGGTTTTCAGTACACTTCATGTCCTTGAGAAACTTGATTACTAGAATAGAGATGATCCCATTAGAAATACTGAAGTTGGGCCGGGCACGGTGGCTCAAGCCTATAATCCCAGCACTTTGGGAGGCCGAGGCGGGTGGATCACGAGGTCAAGAGATTGAGACCATCCTGGTCAACAAGGTGAAACCCCGTCTCTACTAAAAATACAAAAATTAGCTGGGCATGGTGGCACGTGCCTGTAATCCCAGCTACTCCGGAGGCCGAGACAGGAGAATTGCCTGAACCCAGGAGGCGGAGGTTGCGGTGAGCCGAGATCGTGCCATTGCACTCCAGCCTGGGTAACAAGAGCAAAACTCCGTCTCAAAAAAAAAAAAAAAAAAAAAAATACTGAAGTAGTATGTAGAGTTTGAGAGCTAACAGTGAATGTTGGTGGAAATAAAAGGAAGAGGAGAAGAACATGGGAGGCTGGGAACCACTCTGCCCATCAACTCCAGGCTCCCTTTTTTCTGCTTGGGTTGTGTCTGTATAGACATGCATAGCCCTACCCCTTAGAATTGTGGGAGCTCAGCCGGGCACAGTGGTTCATGCCTGTAATCCCAGCACTTTGGGAGGCCAAGGCAGGTGGATCACCTGAGGTCAGGAGTTCGAGACAAGACTGACCAACATGGTGAAATCCCATCTCTACTAAAAATACAAAAATTAGCCAGGTATGGTGGCACATGCCTATAATCTCAGCTACTCGGGAGGCCGAGGCAGAATTTCATGAACCCTGGAGGCAGATGTTGCAGTGAGCTGAAATCGCACCACTGCATTCCAGCCTGGGTGACAGAGCAAGACTCCGTCTCAAAAGAAAAAAAGAATTGTAGGAGCTCTGTTTCTGTAGAGCACAGAACACGCTTCTCACAGGGAAGGGGCTGATGCCTGAGCCACACGGAAACATACGGGATGGGTGATGGGGAAATGACAACACTGGTATCTGTGGGTTTACTTAGTGATGTTTACTTCCCATAGCAAATCTTGTGCTACAGAGAAGTGACTTGCTGTTTCTTGTGGTAGGTCCAGGAGGCCCAGGAGGTCCTGGGGGACCCATGGGTCGCATGGGAGGCCGTGGAGGAGATAGAGGAGGCTTCCCTCCCAGAGGACCCCGGGGTTCCCGAGGGAACCCCTCCGGAGGAGGAAACGTCCAGCACCGAGCTGGAGACTGGCAGTGTCCCAATCCGTATGTACTTGTCTTGGCAAATTGATAGCCTTCGAGTGAAGCCACCATTCCCACACCCCATCCCCACTCCAGAGCGGATTGCTCTGTCCCGGGGAACAGAATGATGACCCTGATGGCTGGTTAGGGGCACTAACCAGTCATTCCCTGGATGCTTCAGAGCCTTCTGAAGATGGATTTGACCTGTCCTGTGGGTGCACTGCTGCCTGAGGCTCTGCCTTAAAGCCTGGGTATACATATATCCTCTTGATAGCGAGTGTGTACCTGTTCACACACCACCTTTCCTTGTTTATCTTCTTTAGTTCAATTGGTGATTTCTGCTGTGATGTAATTGTATGCAGGGGTTGTGGAAACCAGAACTTCGCCTGGAGAACAGAGTGCAACCAGTGTAAGGCCCCAAAGCCCGAAGGCTTCCTCCCGCCACCCTTCCCGCCCCCGGGTAGGTGCAGGTTTCGTCAGTGTCCCCTCAGCTTCCTGGTGCTACACCTCTTAATTCTTAACTTACGGGCTTGGCAAACTGCAGCTGCCCTCTGCTTAAGAACCTTGGGTTGTCGTCGTATCGTTTCTAAATTGTCAGCCAGATGCTGAGATTGAGTGAAATGTCTGGTTTGTTTCTGCTGTGAGAGAAGGAAGCAGAGCAGCTTCCGGTGTGTCCTCGGCGTCTCTGCAGCCACCCACTGACTGCTGTCGCCCTGCTTTTCTTACCTCAGGTGGTGATCGTGGCAGAGGTGGCCCTGGTGGCATGCGGGGAGGAAGAGGTGGCCTCATGGATCGTGGTGGTCCTGGTGGAATGTTCAGAGGTGGCCGTGGTGGAGACAGAGGTGGCTTCCGTGGTGGCCGGGGCATGGACCGAGGTGGCTTTGGTGGAGGAAGACGAGGTGGCCCTGGGGGGCCCCCTGGACCTTTGATGGAACAGATGGGAGGAAGAAGAGGAGGGCGTGGAGGACCTGGAAAAATGGATAAGTAAGTGCTGGCGAAAAGCCTCTGTGGGCTGCCAGGCACAGCGACAGGACAGCCCCTGCCAGCCTGGATGGAGCAGGTCCCCATGGCGCTAGGAATCTTGTGACAGTGCTCGGGAGGAGTCAGCAAGGGGTACCTGGGGGCTCGGGACGGGGTCCCCCTTCCTATTCTAACCAAAGGGCCCTCTTTGCCTTGCAGAGGCGAGCACCGTCAGGAGCGCAGAGATCGGCCCTATTAGATGCAGAGACCCCGCAGAGCTGCATTGACTACCAGATTTATTTTTTAAACCAGAAAATGTTTTAAATTTATAATTCCATATTTATAATGTTGGCCACAACATTATGATTATTCCTTGTCTGTACTTTAGTATTTTTCACCATTTGTGAAGAAACATTAAAACAAGTTAAATGGTAGTGTGCGGAGTTTTTTTTCTTTCTTTCTTTTAAAAATGGTTGTTTAACTAAGACTTAACAATGGGAACCCCTTGTGAGCATGCTCAGTATCATTGTGGAGAACCAAGAGGGCCTCTAACTGTAACAATGTTCATGGTTGTGATGTTTTTTTTTTTTTAAATAAAATTCCAAATGTTTATAAACAGTCATCCTTCTCAGCCTCTGTTCCACAGTCACTGCATGTCTGCTGGGAACGTGCTCCCAACCAGGAGAGGGGTGCCTTCCACGGGATAAACAGTTTGTTCAGGGGTGGTGTGACATGGAAACAAAGACTCCCTGAGACCCTCTCAAAAGACCCACTAATGTCCAAAGGTTCAAGGAGAGATCCAGGTTAGGGAGGCACAGGAAGACTTACTTGCCATCCATGGCATCAGAGGTGAGGAACTAGGAACATCTCAGGGGCTGCCGCCTCAGGTGAGGGACAGTCTTGCTCAGGCGGACTAGGATCTGGGCCCTCTCATCCCCAGCACTTCTGGACATGGATCACGCGCACCTCTCCTTGTCTGTGCTTTAGTATTTTTCACCAGTGCCTCCCTAGTCATTTCCTGTGCTAATACGTGTTTGATTCCCTGCATTTGAAAAATCCTTCCTTAACCTGCCATCACTCGCCTCCCACCATCTAACCATCTTCCTGGCCCTTTGTACAGGGAAGTGCATGCACAGAGCTGTGTCCACCTCCTCCCTCTCTGGAACCCACTTCATGCCTTGCCTGCACTGAAACAATAGCTGTCAAGTCACGAACTCTAATGTTGCCAAATCAGTGATCCATCCTGTGTTCTCCCATCTCTTTCATTGCTTCCTTTTTCTCCTGTCCCTAAGTGTAGGAGGGCCCCAAGGCTAGCATGGGGTTCCCCTGAGCCCCCCACTGTCTGGCTTTCCTTTCCCTGCTGTGGCTTTAACCCTTTCTTCCTAGGGCCAACTCGGCTCGTGTGCATGATGGGTGTAGAGCAGGGCTTGCTCCTGCCCCATCCTCCCTCCACCCTAGTTCAGCAAATTCAGGAACTTGCCCCAAACCTTGGCATCATCCATGACCCATCCTCAAACGCCAGCCCCCAACTCGGCTCTCCTCCAAATCCAGGACGATGCAGATCCGCCCACAGGCCCTGCCTCCATGATGCCCGCTCACTGGGCTCCCTGCTTCTCCCCTCCCTATTTCCAGCCCTTTTTCAGAAGCCAGACGAAGATTTGTGAGTTTTGTTTTGTTTCGTGACGAAGTCTTACTCAGTTGCCCAGGCTGGAATACAAGTGGCATGATTTCAGCTCACTGCAACCTCCGCCTCCCAGGTTCAAGCAAGTTGTCTCAGCCTCCAGAGTAGCTGGGACTACAGGCACCTGCCAACACACTTGGCTAATTTATACTTTCAGTAGATGGCTTTCACTGTCCTAGCGAGGCTGGTCTTGAACTCCTGACCTTGTGATCCACCCACCTCGGCCTCCCAAAGTGCCGGGATTACAGGTGTGAGCCACCGCACCTGGCTGGTTAGTGGTTGTGGCTGAGTTTTGTTTTTTTGTGCGTGTTTTTCCTTTGAGACGGCGTCTGTCACCTAGGCTGCAGTGGCGCAATCTCAACTCTGCAACCCCCGCCTCCCAGGTTCAAGCAATTCTCTGCTCAGCCTCCTGAGTAACTGGAATTACAGGTGTTCGCCACCGCACCAAGCTAATTTTGTATTCTTAGTAGAAATGACAGTTCACCATCCTGGCCAGGCTGGTCTTGAACTCCTGACCTTGTGATCCACCTGCCTCAGCCTCCAAAACTGCTGGGATTACAGGCATGAGCCATCACACCCTGCCTCCTGTTGCTGTTTTTTGAAATGGTCTTGCTTGCTTTCCCTCAGACTGGAGTGCAGTGGCACAATCACAGCCTTGACCTCCTGAGCTCAAGTGATCTTCCCACCTCAGCCTCCTGAGTATCTGCGACTACAGGTACGCACCACTACACCCTGCTGATTTTTTTGATGTGTTTGTAGAGACCAGGTCTCACTGTTGCCCAGGCTAGTCAACTTGGGCTCAAGCAATCATCCTGCTTCAGCCTCCCAAAGTGCTGGATTACAGACATGAGCCACCGCACTTAGCCCAGACTAACTTGACATGGGAGGTCATCTCCATTCTCAAAACCATTTGGTGGCTCCAAGCATGCTTGCCATGCCCCCAAGACACCTGGGTCCCCAGCTGCCCTGCTCTGCCTTGCTCACCAGTCCAGCCAGCACTGTTCTCCAAGGGGCCAAGGATGCTGTCGGCCTTGATGTGTCAGAGGCAAGGTACACACACACCTAAGAGGCCCAAACTTGACCAGGGCATCACTGGGCCCCTGCATCATGCCAGGCATTGCACTAAGTACCTCCACATGTTTAATTCCTAGTACCTTTCAAGGCGGGTAACATGACACCCACGCACAGATGAGATGGGAATATCGAGGTCAAGGGGGCACTTGCCATTGAGAGGCCGAGTTGAGCTAAAAGTGGTCACCCTCCCACCACCCCATTGTACACAGGCACCTGCTTCTGAAAGAATGGGTGCTCTGGCAACAAAGAACATGATCCGCAGCTGCCAGCACTAAGGAAAACAAGCAGCCCTCTCTGGAAGCGTTTGATTCCTGGATGCTGCGTAGGCATCCACCGGAGTCGGGCATCACATAGGCTCCCCAGGAGTAGCCTTATGTCCCTGCCTTGAGAGGGGTTTGGTGCTGGCACTAAATAGCCCTGGTAGAGACGTTTATAGCAGGCAAGACTATTTTTCTCAGCCCAAAGAAACTTCTGGACTGCTCTGGGCACAGATGATCTCAGGCAGTATGGACTCTGAGCCTGTGTCAAAGGGCTGAACGAAGCTGGCTGGTGCCAGGGCATGAAGGAGGTGGGCAGGGCAGAGAGCAGAGCAGGTGGAGAAAAAGCCTGCCCTATACCCCACACCTTGCTCAAATTCCCCAAAAGCACCTAGACTAAAAGTTTCCAACACAAACTTGAGGTCCCACCAGGCTACACCACACAGGCCTCAGCGAAGGTGGTGGGGTCCATGGGAAGACTGTGCTCACAGGGAGTGGCTTCCCTGCTCGATGGGAAGGAGCACAGGACTGCAGCAGCTGTGGAGCTGAGGACAGTGTCGTCTGTGACAGGGACGACAGGTGGCCTTCGTGCTGTTCCCTCCTGCCCCACTCCTGACAGATCTACTGGGCGCAGGCCCGCCATGAGGACAGTGATGCAAGCAGGTTGGAAAGAGCCCACTTGGGAGAGAGATCCAAGATAGCTGATCACTAGCAGCTCGGGATTGTAGCTCCCAGTGAAAACGCAAAGAACGAGAGGACGCCACACCTTCACATGAATTCTTGTTGCTCACGCCCCAGGAGATTCCCAGCGGAGGAGCCCCACGGGTCGCCAGCGCGACTCTTGTGACCGGCGAGGCGGTTTTGCCGGCGCCTCGGAGCGTCGGTTCTTGGTGCAGAGTCAGAAAAGCACCATCAATCTTAACGCCGCTGATTTGGTCGGCGCAGTGGGTTGCTCAGATTTCGGTGCTGAGAATCAATAAGTTGGACGTCCACTCAGAAACCCAATTACAAAGACGGTAATTATAAAGACCACAGATGGATAAATCTACAACGAAGGGAAGAAAACCATCAAAAAAGGCTGAGAATACCCAAGATCAGAACGCCTCTCCCTCAGCAGGGGATCCCAGTTCCTCATCAGCAACGAAACAAGGCCTGATGGAGAACGAGTGTGTTCCAATTACAGAAGCAGGCTTCAAAATGTGGATAATAAGAAACTTCTGTGAATTAAAAGAACTTGTTCTAACACAATCTAAAGAAACTAAGAACTTTGAAAAAAGGTTTGACGAAATGTCAACAAAAATACAAAATTTAGAGAGGAAAATAAGTGAATTGATGGAACTGAAAAACACAATACAAGAACTTCGTGAAGTATGCACAAGTTTTAACAGCCGAATTGATCAAGCAGAAGAAAGGATATCAGAGGTCGAAGACCAACTCAATGAAATAAAACAAGAAGACAAGATTAGAGAAAAAAGGATAAAAAGGAATGAGCAAAGTCTCCAAGAAATATGGGACTATGTGAAAAGACCTAATCTACGCTTGATAGGTGTACCTGAATGTGACGAAGAGAATGAATCCAAGCTGGAAAATACACTTCAGGACATTATTCAGGAAAATTTTCCCAACCTAGTAAGGCAGGACAATATTCAACTCCAGGTAATACAGAGAACACCACAAAGATAATTCCTCAAGAAGAGCAACTCCAAGGCACATAATCGTCAGATTCACCAGGGTTGAAATGAAGGAGAAAATACTAAGGGCAGCCAGAGAGAAAGGTCAGGTTACCCACAAAGGGAAGCCTATCAGACTTACAGCAGATCTCTCAGCAGAAACCCTACAAGCCAGAAGAGAGTGGGGACCAATATTCAACATCCTTAAAGAAAAGAACTTTCGCCGGGCGCGGTGGCTCAAGCCTGTAATCCCAGCACTTTGGGAGGCCGAGGCGGGTGGATCACGAGGTCAAGAGATCGAGACCATCCTGGTCAACATGGTGAAACCCCGTCTCTACTAAAGATACAAAAAATTAGCTGGGCATGGTGGCACGTGCCTGTAATCCCAGCTACTCAGGAGGCTGAGACAGGAGAATTGCCTGAACCCAGGAGGCGGAGGTTGCGGTGAGCCGAGATGGCGCCATTGCACTCCAGCCTGGGTAACAAGAGCGAAACTCCGTCTCAAAAAAAAAAAAAAAAAGAAAAGAACTTTCAACCAAGAATTTCACATCCAGCCAAACTAAGCTTCATAAGTGAAGGAAAAATAAAGTTTTTTGTGAACAAGCAAGCCCTCAGAGATTTCATCACCACCAGGCCTGCTTTACAAGAGCTTCTGAAAGAACCACTGCACATAGAAAGGAACAAACAGTATCAGCCTTTCTAAAAAATACCAAAAAGTAAAGAACATCAATATAATGAAGAATTTACATCAACTAATGGGCAAAATAGCCAGCTAATATTAAATGGCAGTATTAAACTCACATATATCATTATTAATTCTAAATTTAAATTGACTAAATTCCCCAATTCAAAGACAGACAGGCAATTTGGATAAAAAACTAAAACCCATCAGTATGCTGCATCCAGACCCATCTCACATTCAAGGATACACAAAGACTCAAAACAAGGGATGGAGAAAGATTTACCAACCAAACAGAGAGCAAAAATAAATAAATAAAAAGCAGAAGTTACAATTTTTGCCTCTGATAAAATAGTCTTTAAAGCAACAAAGATCAAAAGAAGCAAAGAAGGACATTATATAATGATAAAAGGGTCAATGCAACAACAAGAAGAGCTAAAGATCCTAAATATATACACACCCAATACAGGAATACCCAGACATACAAGACTAATAAAGAGACTTAGACTCCCACACAATTATAGTGGGAGACTTCAACATTAATATTAGACAGATCAATGAGACAGAAAATTAACAACGATATCCAGGACTTGAACTCAGATCTGGAACAAGTAAACGTAATTAACATTTATAGAACTCTCCACTTTAAATACACAAAATATACACTCATCAGTACCACATCATATCAACTTAGACGTTTAAATGAAATGTTGGTTGGCTCCTTGTTTGTTACTCTCTTCCCTCATTTTCTTTCATGTCTCCATTATTAAGGACAATTATAGGCATACCCATATTTGGATTGCATTCTAGCCCGGGCAATAAAGTAATATCCCCATTCTCTCTCCCTCTTCCTCTTTCTCTTTATTCTTTTTCTTATTATTCTTTTTTTCTTTCTAAAAAAAAAAAAAAAAAAAAAAAAAGAGCCCACTTGGTTTTTCCAGTTTTGCGTCTCTCTTGTGGACAGCACTGGAGGCAGCTCAGGGTCACCTGTCCTACAGCCAGAGCAGGAGCTGACCAGCAGGAGTCCTTGGAGCCAAGCCCATGTCTGCATACAGCAGCCCAAAGCCTCTTGCGAGTCCCTCACTCATCCTGGGCTGTGCTCAGAGCCTCAGTCCAGACTAGAGAACTTCAAGTTCTAATCCAGCCAGTGCTGGAGGTTCCTGGGGCTGTCTGGTAGCAGGGCTGCAGCCCACAATGAGGGTTTTGCTTGAAGGTTCCACCACCATCATCTGACCTCTAGCTGCAACCAAGGCCAAGCAGGCTGCTGGCTGGCACACAGCAGTGGGTGTTAAGAAACTTGCCATGTGCCCTCTGGCCGAAAGCCAGAAGAAGCCCACATGAGAGCCACAGCATTCTGTGCGGAGGTGAGTGGCCTCAAGGGTCTGTGCAGATGGGCTCAGGGCCCCTATAGCCCAAACCTCCCTGTCCCTCCAGCAGTTTCTGTGGCTTCTCTTGGTCCTTCAAGGAACAAGGGAGATCGTATAGAGCAGGTGTCCCCAAACTATGGCCCACGGGCCGCATGCGGCCCCCTGAGGCCATTTATCCGGCCCCCCGCCGTACTTCAGGAAGGGGCACCTCTTTCATGGGTGGTCAGTGAGAGGAGCACAGTATGTGGCGGCCCTCCAACAGTCTGAGGGACAGTGAACTGGCCCCCTGTGTAAAAAGTTTGGGGACGCCTGCTATAGAGGCTGAGGCTTTCCCAGAGGTGGTCCCATGGGCCCTGGGCCACCATATGCCAGAGGCAGTCAAAGCTAGGGCCCACCATGCCCTGGGCCAGGGGTCTGACCACCCCACTGAAGTCTGCACTGTGGCAGCCACATGTCCTGGAATCAGGTATGGGAGGCTGTGTTCTAGAACATACCTCTTATCACAGCACACAGCTCATGGGAGAGAGGGAGAAAGGAATCTCTTTATCATCCCTTCTCCCCAGAGACGAGGACTTGCTGAGTCAGGCCATACTGAGCTGGGTAGTGGCATTATTTTTCACAACCCCATGATGTGACTGCTACTACTGTCCCATTCTACAGATGCTGCCACTGAAGCTTAGGGAGCTTCACCATCCCACCCAATGACCAATGGCAGAACCTGGGTTCAGTCCAACTTCACCTGTGTCCAGGGTCCCAAAATGCAACAAGGTAGGTACAAGCAAGAGTCAAATTACTGCAGAGCTGCTGGCTACACACATCCGCGCCTTCTCTGGGTCTCAGTTTCCCCAAGTTATAAAACGAGAACACCTAAGAGTATCATAGCTCCTTGAGGTATGCTGAGGTTTAGTGTCCACACCCTGATTCGCCCCTACCCCAAACCCTCCCCCATCTCCAGCAGCCCGCCCCTCCTAGGCGTTCGCACCTCCGCCCTCCCAGTGCTTAGTCCTGGGAGTCATGCTGGACTCCTCCATCCTCACACTCAACCAATCCCACAGCACATCAGCTCTATCCTCACACTACGGCCAGAATCCAGCACCCTCTCTCCACCTAAGAGGTTTCCTCTGAGGCTCCAGCCCCTGCCCTGGCAGCCCCGACAGGCCCATGGAATGTGAAAACCTAAGCCAACCTTCCCTGCCATAAATCATTCCAAGGCTCCTGTGCCCACAAAGCCCTGCTTGATCGGTCTGGGGCCTCTCTAATCTACCTCCTCCCTCGCCCACCTCCCTGCTCTCCAGCCTCAGCCACCTCCCCAGTCTTCTTGAGCAGGCTGGACAAAGGGCCACCTCAGGGCCTTGGTACTAGCTGTTCCCTCTCCCTGAAATACCCTCCCCCTCCAGATAGCCCCGACCTTCCTCCCTCACCTCCTTTCCTGATAAGGGATTTTATTTTTTGAGACAGAGTCTCACTCTGTCGCCCAGGCTGAAGTGCTGGGTGCAGTGGCTCACACCTGTAATTCCAGCACTTTGGGAGGCCAAGGTGGGCAGATCATGAAGTCAAGAGTTCAAGACCAGCCTGGCCAGCATGGTGAAACCCTGTCTCTACTAAAAATAGAAAAAATTAGTGGGGCGTGGTGGCAATGCCTGTAGTCCCGACTACTCAGCAGGGTGAGGCAGGGGAATTGTTTGAACCCAGCAGGTGGAGGTTGCAGTGAGCCAAGATCGCACCACTGCACTCCGGCCTGGGTGACAGAGCAAGACTCTATCTCAAAGAAAGAAAGAAAATAAAGAGGCTGAGTGTGGTGGCTCATGCCTGTAATCCCAGCACTTCAGGAGGCGGAGGCGGGTGGGTCACCTGAGGTCAGGAGTTTTAGAGTAGCCTGGCCAATATGGTGAAACCCTGTCTCTACTAAAAATGCACAAATTAGCTGGGCATGGTGGCAGGCACCTGTAATCCCAGCTACTCTGGAGGCTGAGGCAGGAGAATGGCTTGAACTCAGGAGGCTGAGGTTGCAGTGACCTGAGATCAAGCCACTGGACTCCAGCCTGGTGACACAGTGAGACTCTGTCCAGAAAAAAAAAAAAAAAAAATGAAAGAAAAGGTCACAAGGACTCTGGGATGATGCCTGTGAGTGGTGTCTGGCACCAAGAGTCCTGGCTCACAGTAGGTGCTCAACAAATGCTGCTGATCCTTGGACGAGGGCGTCCCCATAATTGTCATGTTCAAATCCCAGCTCCACCAGCTGCTCGCCTGACCACGCGCCCCAGTTGGGCATGAGTGTCCCTCACAGAGGTGACACACCAGTCCGTTCAGGTCAAGGGCGCAGAGCAGGCCTGGCAGCACACAGTAGGAGACTTCCTAGAGCTCTGAGCCTGGCTGTGGTTGGCGGCGCTTCCCTGCAGGCCTGCCCCGCCCGTGCAGCATGGCTGCCGCCCAGACCCGCCCAGCGTCCCACCCAGCCCAGCCGACAGCAGCAGGGGGCAGGATTTCCCGCTGATCTCCACGTCCGTCCGTCCTCTGTAGTTTAAAAAGCGCCCAGCGGGGCTTAACCCTCCCACGTCCGGCCGGCCTCCGGTGCCCCCTGTCCCTTGTTCTTTGCGGAACCCCGGCCTTGGCCACCTGCCTACTTCTCTCAGTTCCAGTATCGTCATCTGTAAAATGGGTTCCCCTAACCTCAAGGTCAAAAACGAGCATTCAGGGAGCACAAGGAGCCCTCGCAGGCCTGGCCGAGTGGGCGTCAGTCACCCGGGCCATCCTCCCCCTCCCTGCGGCTGTGCCAGTTATCTGGCCTGGGGAGGTCCACCCGGGAGGAGGTGACTTTGCAGCCCCCGGCTGCTATCGCTTCCTGACTTCATCTCGGGAACAGGCCGTGCTCTGCGCCCGCCTGGGGAGCCCACCGTCCGGGGAGGGGGGCAATTAAAAGGTCCCAACCTCCTCCCTAGGAGACCAAAGAGGGTGGATGGGGCCGTGGGGACTAGGCTGGGTGGGGGTGGGGCGCCTGCGCCGGTCACAGTCGTCTGGGGGCCCTGGGACCCTCTGCGCCGAGGGCTCCCGAAGACCCAGGGGTCCTAGCCCTACAGCGCGGGGAGACCCCAGCTCCTTCCCAGCCTGCCCCGCCAGCCCGGGGAAAAGGCGGCCCCTTTAAGAGCGCACGGCCCCGCCTGCCCGCCCCCTCCGGGCCGGATCCGAATTCCAGGGAGGCGGGGCGGAGACGGCGGCGAGGAGGAGGCCGCGGCGCGGGACGGATCGAGCTGCGGCTCGGGCGGCGCCTCCCTGCGGCGGGCCCGCCCCGGCTCCGGCCCCCGCCGGGGCGATGCTCCCCGGGGCCGCGGGATGAGCCAGGTGAGCGCAGGGACCCCCAGCACTCCCTGCCCGATGCGCACGGACAGCGAGGCCGGGCAGCGGCGTCCGCGGCCTCTGTTTCCCGGGGCTGTGTGACCTTGGGCGGCCCCGTGCCCTCTCTGGGCCCGGGCCTGGGCCCGAGCATCGGCGGGGCCTGCGGAGGCCGATCCGGGCCCTGACGCCGCAGGCTCCGGCTTGGGGAGCTGGGGAGGCTTCTTGGAGGAGGCGGGGCCTGATCCTGCCCCGGGTCGCCGAGACCAGCCACTCTGCACCGCCTGGGCTCCTCCACCCATGGCTCTGCGACCTTCACGAGCTCAACCCTTTCTGCGCCTCAGTTTCCTCATCTGTAAAATGGAGATAATATCTCCGAGCGCTCAGCCTAAATGCGGTCGCGCTGTTACTGACACTATCTACTGCTGCTATGTCGTTGTTCATGACTGCACAGCCCTTAGGAAAGGGGGGCCAAGGGAGGCGTGGGGATCTTCCCCTAGCGTGTGGGGTGGGCACCAGCCCTGAGCCATGTAGATAACCCACTCTGAGGTCAGGACCTGGGTTCGTTTTGTGTCCACTGGGGGCCCTAGCCTTTGTCTTTACCTCTCTAGGTCCCAGCTGTTCACAATGGGCACCTTCCTGCCTGAGAGGCCCCAGCCAAGCCCCAGTTTCCACCCCAGAAAGCCATACAGCAAACACTTGTGAACCCTAGGTTTATAAAAATTATCCCATAGAGTCCTATGAGGCAGTGAATGGTACTGTACCCATTTCGCAGATGAGGAAACTTGAGGCACTGAAGTTTCCCAGAGCCAACATGGAAACCAGGCATTTGGCCCAAGTGACAGACTGGTGCAGGTGGTCAGCAGCTTAGTTTATACTGAGTGCTTGCTGGGTCCTTACAGCGATCCTGACCTGTGTTCCTGCCCACAGTGACTCGGCCGGTCCGGGCATGGCGGACCCAGTGGCGGGCATTGCGAGCTCGGCGGCCAAGAGCGTGCGGCCGTTCCGCTCCAGTGAGGCCTACGTGGAGGCCATGAAGGAGGACCTGGCCGAGTGGCTCAATGCCTTGTACGGCCTGGGTCTCCCGGGTGGTGGCGATGGCTTCCTGACGGGGCTGGCCACGGGCACAACTCTGTGCCAACATGCCAACGCTGTGACCGAGGCTGCCCGTGCATTGGCAGCCACGCGCCCGGCCCGAGGTGTGGCCTTCCAGGCACACAGTGTGCCCGGCTCCTTCATGGCCCGTGACAACGTGGCCACCTTCATCGGCTGGTGCCGCACGGAGCTGGGAGTGCCGGAGGTGCTCATGTTTGAGACTGAGGACCTGGTGCTGCGTAAAAATGAAAAGAGCGTGGTGCTGTGCCTACTGGAGGTGGCGCGGCGTGGGGCCCGCCTGGGCCTGCTCGCCCCACGCCTCGTGCAGTTTGAGCAGGAGATTGAGCGGGAGCTTCGTGCTGCACCGCCAGCCCCCAACGCCCCTGCTGCTGGGGAGGACACCACTGAAACCGCCCCTGCACCAGGGACTCCTGCCCGCGGCCCCCGAATGACGCCCAGCGACCTGCGCAACCTCGATGAGCTGGTGAGTCCCCCAGCACCAGGTATCAGGGACCGACAGCACTGCCAGGGCCTGCGATCTGTCCCCGAACCTCCCAGGGTCCACCCAGAACAGCCTGCCCCACAAAGAGTGCCCATGTTGAGCACCAAACCAAGGAACGTAGACCTGACCCCAAGGAAATGAACGGGTAGCCCACAGAGAGGGAGGTGCTGGGGAGATGATGCAGCGCAGCTGAGCTTGGGACAGGATCTGGGCTCCCAGCACGATCTTCCCCAGCTTTGTGTGCTGTACCCCAGCTGAGCTTGTGTGTTCCTTCTGGGGGGCTGCATGATTGGGGCACCTCCTTGGTGCCCTCCCTGCATTCAGGCAGATGTGCCCACAACCTCACAGAGGCTTGAGGTTGAGTGGGCGCTGTGATGCTCAGTTGAGATGAGGTGCGGAAAGCCCTAGGCAAGGTGCCTGGCACACAGTAGGCACCCCTGGGGGCTCTGCAGGTCTCCCCATTCCCCAGGCACCCCTGGGAAGCCTAGCCGAGTTGCTTCTGTTGCTGGGAGTGAGGGTCCTGTTGGGAGCTTCAGGATTCATTCTAAGCATAGAAGGTGCCAGGCCCTGCCCCCAGCTCTCTCGTCTCCCAGGATCTGGGCGGCCCGTGCCACCCCCGGGGCTGGACCAGGAGTTTCCTTCTTATCAGAAAGTCAGGACTATGATGTGCCTGCCTGGGAGGCGGATAGCGGATAGCCATGGGCAGAGCCTGGGGCCCCACCCCCTGTCCCGGACCAGGGTCATTCAAGGCCCCACCTGCTTATTTCCTCTGGCGGCGGGCGCTGCTGCTGCTGTGGGCAGGGAGGCGGGCGGGGAGGCGGGCTGGGCGCCCACATAGCCAGCCTGGCAGCTCTGGCTCTGGGGGGACCGTATGTGGTGTGTGCTTGCCCAGCCAGTGGCCTGTGTGTCCCACGTGTCTGTGGTACCCCTCCACATCAGTGCCCACCCAGGGAAGTGGGGCCCCTGCACCTGTGTCCCGTAGCCTGCCTGGCCTCCCTGTGGGCCCCAGCCTTCTTGTCTGGGAAGTGGGTGAAGGGAAGTGAGGATAGGCTCTGGGGCTCCCCCAGGCCTGTGGCATGTTCCTCACCAGGTCTCAGACCCTGGCCTGACCACAGCCCCCTCATCTCATCCCGGGCAGCTCCCTGGGCCCAGAGAACCAAGAAGGGAGAACTGGTCACATGTGGAAGCTGTACCCCCATCTGGGGGCAACACATTCTCCACCCCACTTCCCCGGAAGGCCTGACTTCCTCCTGACCCTAGAACGGCTGACGTTAAGCCCCAGGAGGAGGACTTGACCTCTGACCCCTACCCTCTCTCTCTGGCCTTAGGTGAGGGAGATTCTGGGCCGCTGCACCTGCCCAGACCAGTTCCCCATGATCAAGGTCTCGGAGGGGAAGTACCGAGTGGGGGACTCCAGCCTGCTCATCTTCGTGCGGGTAAGGGCCTGTGGCCACCCCAGCAGGCAGCAGCTAAGGGGGTGGGCTGCTAGGCCCCCAGGACATAGCCATGACCTGCCCATGCCTGCAGGTGCTGAGGAGCCACGTGATGGTACGAGTGGGTGGTGGCTGGGACACGCTGGAGCATTACCTGGACAAGCACGACCCATGCCGCTGCTCCTCCACTGGTCAGTGCTGGGGCGGGGCTGGGCATGGGCGGGCAGGGGACTTCCCTCTGTGGCTCTGTCCCTCACATGCTGCCTGTTATCTGTCCCTGCAGCTCACCGTCCACCCCAGCCAAGGGTCCGCACGTTTTCTCCGCAGAGGGTGTCACCCACCCCCAGTCCCCGCCCTGCTAGCCCCGTCCCTGGAAGTGAGCGCCGGGGTTCCCGGCCTGAGATGACTCCCACTAGCTTACGAAACACAAAGGAGGGGCCCGAGACCCCGCCCAGGTGAGATGCAGGAGGACGAAGGGTGAGGGGTCCGGCGGGTAGGGCGGCGTCAGCGTGGGTCTGCATGAAGGGTTGCCTATGCGCCAGAGTGACTCACACCCTGGGAAAAGTTCCCGTGGGTGGGGGCGGGCCTGGCTTCCCATCTCCATGGCAACCCAACCAAACCAACAACACAGCTGGGCGGGCCCTGTGGCTGGGCGGCCCCAGTCCAACCCCTGCTTCCTCTGGCCCTTCCTGGGAAGGGGGGTGTCTAGAGCCCAGGAAACTTCTTCTTCCGTGGCTTCTGGGGCCCTGGGTGGCTGGAGGAAGCTGCTCACTTCTCCCTGGAAGTCCCCAGGACAGACCGATGCCCCTGACAGCCCTATCCACCCACCACATACCCTGCTGTTCCTCTCTCTACCCGTTCTGAATGCCAGTCTTTCTGTGGTACCCCATCTCTCTTGTCCCCCTGCCCCAGGCCCCGGGATCAGCTGCCCCCCCATCCCCGCACCCGCCGCTACTCCGGGGACAGTGACTCCTCAGCCTCCTCTGCCCAGAGCGGTCCCCTTGGTTCCCGAAGTGACGACACAGGCACTGGCCCCTGGAGGGAGCGACCCAGCCGGCGGCTGACCACAGGCACCCCGGCCTCTCCAAGACGGCCTCCTGCCCTGCGCAGCCAGTCCCGAGACCGGCTGGATCGGGGTCGGCCCCGGGGGGCCCCAGGAGGCAGGGGAGCTCAACTGTTGGCCCCCAGCCCTGCCCGGCGGGCCCGGAGCCAGAGCCGTGAGGAGCAGGCGGTGCTGCTGGTGCGCAGGGATCGAGACGGGCAGCACTCATGGGTCCCAAGGGGCAGGGGCAGCGGGGGCTCGGGCAGGAGCACGCCCCAGACTCCCCGTGCTCGCAGCCCTGCAGCATCCCGGCTTTCCCGGGTCTCCAGCCCCAGTCCAGAGTTGGGCACCACACCGGCCAGCATCTTCCGCACACCCCTGCAGCTCGACCCACAGCAGGAGCAGCAGCTGTTCCGGCGCCTGGAAGAGGAGTTCCTGGCCAATGCCCGGGCGCTTGAGGCTGTTGCTAGCATGACCCCCACTGGACCAGCCCCTGAACCAGCTCGGGCCCCCGACCCTCCAGCTCCTGACTCTGCCTACTGTTCCTCCAGCTCCTCCTCTTCATCCCTCAGTGTCCTGGGTGGCAAATGTGGCCAACCTGGAGACTCTGGCCGGACGGCCAATGGGCTGCCCGGGCCCCGAAGCCAAGCCCTTTCCAGCTCCTCTGATGAAGGCAGCCCCTGCCCTGGCATGGGGGGGTCACTAGATGCACCTGGGAGCCCCCTGGCTGGCCCCGAGCCCTTGAGGACCTGGGCACGGGGTCGGATGGACACACAGCCAGACCGTAAACCTTCACGCATCCCCACGCCTCGGGGCCCCCGCCGCCCCTCTGCACCCGCGGAGCTTGGGACCTGGCATGCTCTGCACCCAGTCACCCCAAGGGCTGAGCCAGATTCCTGGATGTGATGGACCAGTTCAGCTGTCCCCAGACCCCATCCCTTCTTTTCCTTTGTGGCCTTAACCCCTCTGCATCAGGGAGCCCCCTCCACCTCAAGTACCAGACCTCATGGGACCAGACCCCTTGGGACCACATGGCACAATGGGACCTCTGTTGTACATTCCGGTTGGGGGATGAGCGTTGCTATTTAATTACTAATATTATTGAATGCCTTAGAGGAGGCCGGGCCAGCCCGGTGTCCTGAAGACCTGTGGCCCAGCAGAGCCTCTGACAGTAAAGTTTTGCTCCAGCCACCTGTCTGCTTCTTGAAGACGCCGCCTTGGGGCCATTCAGACCCTTTTAAGGACCCTGGAGTTAACTGCCTGGAGGCCAAGCCTGGCAGCTCTGACCTCTTGGCTTAAGGCTTTATCCTGCCCGGCCCAGAAATCCCAGGTGCACTCGAATTATTTTCCCTTTTATTATCCCGCGATAGGTGTGGCATAAAGAATACGTCCAGTGAAGCTCTAGGAGCAGGCTGAGTGTTTCCAGTCAAATTCATAGCCAAGTCCTTTCCATTTAATGGGATTGTGACCCCAGAAAGGACTGATAATCTCCAAAGGAGCCTGGGACCTGGTTGGGTCCAATGAGGTTCAAAAAGGCCCGTCGCTTAGGAGACTGGGTGGGAGCTTTCCTCATCCAATCAGGGCGGAAATTGCCTGTCCGAGTGAAGTTGGGCGATCCTGTCCAATCCAGCTCCCAGATTGTGCCCAGTCACAAGGTGGGGCCCATGGATGGCATGGTCCAATCAGGTCACATGAGGCTGCAGCGTGCCGGATGCAGCGCCCCCTGCAGGCGCAGAGCCGGGTGTGCAGGGCGCGCGCGCACCAGAGCGCAGCGCAGCAGCTCGCGGAAGAGACGCAGCACGTGCCAGTTGTACTTGGCCGAGCACTCGAGGTAGCCGCAGCGCCAGCCCCTCCGCACCAGGGCGGCCAGCGCGCGCCGCGGTCCGAAGCGCAGCCGCTGCCGGTCCCGCTTGTTGCCTACCACGAGGATGGGCGCTTCGGGCGCGCCCGCCGGCCTGAGGGCCGAATGGAGATGAGAGACGCGGTGCCAGAGACCCCACCGCCGGAGAATTCCCCCAGTGGGTATACACACGCAGGCGCATTCCATTCCTACGCCCAGAGACCCCCCCGCAAACGAACTCCAAGCCCGTGTGGGCCAAAGAGCACATAACAGCTGAAGACCTTTCCACTGGCAAAGGCCTAAGACCTGGCCCACGACGGCGGGAGGCCCTACACACTCCCTTCGGGCAAAGGCCCAGCTAGACCTGCCCTAGCTCCCCACCACCAGCCCTGCCGTGCCCCCACCTGGTCTCCGCGATGCGCTGCCGCAGGGCCTTCACGTAGTCGAAACTGTCCGGGCTGCAAATGTCGTAGACGAGCACGAAAGCGTCCGTGTCCTGCAAGCTCCAGTCCTTAGGGTCTGGCCACTCCTGGGGACGGGAGGCCAGGGTTTGCGGGAGCCTCCTTTTCACCCTCCCGCTCTCGAATCCTCTGCAGGGGCCTTGGACGCTAAACCTACAGTTCATCCTCAGGCCAACATCACCCTCATCCAGACCTCTGTGCCCCTCCCCCAAGCTTCCCGGGCCCGGTCTCCTCATGACCACCAGGAGAAAATTTTCCAAATAGTGCCTGGAGCCTGTTAGCCACCCTCTTTCACCCTTGGTCTCCCCTCTGCTCACCCCGAATCTTCCTCTTTTCAGCTTTCTCCAACTCAGCTCAGACCACTCTCCTCCCCAGACACTCTCAGTGCTTCCCACTGCCTCTAAGACTTAATTCCAAAGCCCTCGGCCGGAGCCTCGTGGTCCACCACGCCCCCAGACTGTCAGCTGTAACCGCTTATGCCCCTAGCTGAAGCACCTGCTGGTCTTTCCACCTGGAATGCTTTTGCCATTTCCTGTTCTCAGAACTTCACTCGGTCTTCCAGGTTCAGCTCAAAAGCCACGCCCTCCAGGAAACCCTGCTTAATCCTGCCTGCTCTTTCCTCTTCGCCTCTCTAGGGTCGGAGGTCTGTCCCCGACTATGCACAAATTACTAAACGAGTCTTCCCTTCAGGGCACAGGAATGAGGGGGCAGAGAATGACCCCCCCCCCAGCCCTGGTAGAAAGTATAAAGTACACCCCTGCTCCTGGCCCCAGTCTCTCCCAACCGTATGTAGCTCTGCTCAAGGCCCCAGAGACAAACCACCACACTCTCAAGGAGGCACCGCCATGCACCACCACGAGCTGCTCCACAACCCCAGAGAAGGCAGCAAAGGTGGAGGCGCTCACAAGAGAAAAGGGAACGCCCCTGGGCAAAACCGCCCGACCTCCAGCCTGGGCTTGGGCGTCTCCAGGTCGGCAGGAAGGGCTAAAACGCAAGTTTCCCAGGACGCACACGCATCCTTCCATCCCGGACCACAGTCAGGCGCCCGAGGCCTCCACGCGGACACTCACGTGTGCACCGAGCACGCACACCCCCTCACACTGTCACACACCCTTGCCCGCTCCTCGAGCCGCTACCTCCGAACCCCCGGGGCTCGAGCCAGGGTCAGCGACATCGCCGTCGCGGATGCTCAAGTCGTAGACGGCGCCGTCGAGCAGCACCGCAGGTCGGTAGAGGCGCGGCCCGTCAGTGGGCCGGTGGCGCTCGGGATAGTCACCGAACAGGAACTGGCGGATGATGGCCGTCTTGCCCACGCCCGGGGCACCTAGAACCGCCACCCGCAGGCTGCCCCCCATGGCCGGCCGGCGCTGCGGCTCCCTGCGCCGGAAAGCCTCATGGGCCGGCGCTGCGCCGAGTGGCCCCCGGCCGTGCGCCCCGCGCACCCTACCCAGTGCGCCCTGGCCCCGCCGCGCTTCTCGTCTTCCCCCGGAGCACCTAGACCGGAGTGGGCAGGCCCGAGGCCGGGGCTGGCGGAGGGAGGGCGGACAGACAGCGGAGTGGGCAGACAGGTGGCGGGCGCGCGAGCGGCTCCGGCGGGTGCCGAAGCTCGGGAGAGAGCAGACCCGGCGCGGCGCTCAGACACCGCCTCCGCCCCGCAGCGCCAACCCAGGCGCCGGCGGCCGCGCGGGGCCCCGAGGTCCGCCTCGCTCGCGGCGCGGGTCCCGCAGCGGTGCGGGGCGCGGGGCGCAGCGCTGCCTCCCGGAGCTTCTGTGTCTCTGTCCTCCTCTCGCTTCTGCGCCCGGAGCCGCCGCCCCAGCCGGCAGCGCGAGCGAGCGGGGCCTCCCGGAGGCGGCGATGAGGTAACCGCCCGCCCCTCCCACCTTCCCCCACCGCCCGGGACGCCCCTCCCAAGAAGGGTCGCAGGAAGGTGACTGGGAGACAGAGATCCCGGTGAGGGTCCACCCGTTCCTTACCCCTCCGCGTGTCCCGCTCCTCTCACCCGCTCCAAAATAGAAGCCCCTTCCTACCCACGGCCGCGGCCGCTCCTCCGAACACTGCTCACCCCACGCTGGCTCCCGACAAACCCCGGCCCCCAGAGACAGGCCGCCCGGGGTCCGAATGGGGGGGCGGCTGTGTGACCTTGGGCGAATCGCCGCACTGCGCTGGGTTTGGGCTCCGCATCCATCACAGGCAGACACCTCAAGAGGCTCTGACCTTTTCTGGAGAGCCTACTATGTGCCAGGCCCTTTACTAAGCTATTACCTACGTGATTCTCGAACCTACGGCCTCGGCCTGGCATCCCCGGTTGAGAGAAGAAACAGGCCGGAGAGGGGAATCCGCAAGGTTAGAAGGGCAGTGAAGGGCCCTTGAAGTCTCCTCTGAGGTCCCGCCTACCTTCCTCCTGCCCATGGGGTAAATGGCCCACACTAGACAATAGTCAAACGGCCGTTCTCCAGGGCAAGTGGAGACAGAGGGTGCAGAGGGCACGCCGAGTCACAGCCGCTTAGCCCCAGATCCCTGTCCAGCAAGGCTGGAGCACCTCCATCATTAAGGCCATGTTTTCTGCGTGAGTTGCAACCCGTAGTAGCTCCCCTCAAAGGGGTGCGAACTGCAGAACACATGGCCAAAGCCCAAGTTCCCCCTCCCTGGAGCTAGTGGAGAAGCTCCTGCCCCATCACAGCTTGGAAAGCCTGGGTTAGCCCAGCCCCGCGTCCTCTGCCTCTGCTCTCCTCCCAGCTGTGTGGGGGCTCCCACGCCTCTGACCTGCACATGACAGTGCTCAAGAAATGCCGAGAATGCACAGATATCTCTGCGCTGACTAAGGAGTTCATTTATTCATCTCCTCAACAAATATTCCAAATCTTATTGCTTGTAAGGAGGCTGAGATGGATTTTAAAAACAGAAAACAGGAAAAAAACAAACGTTCTTCCCTAGGAGAGAGGGTTCTGGAACACAGGGATCTAGGTACTGTCAAAGCACAATGTACCCACCCCAGCCCAGGGGAAGTAGAAGAGCTAAATCCTGAAAGGTGAGGAGGCACATCCTCCAGGGAGCCCATCCATCACGACAACCAGAAAGTGTCTCCAGGACAATGGCTCTGCTTTCATCCTTCCATGTTGGATTAGGGGCTGGGGTCCACTTTCATTCCTCTCCTCAGCCACTAGGGAGCTCAGAACCAGCTCTGTCCAGTATTCCAGGTCTTTCAGCTCAGTGAGTGGAGACTGCTGGCTTCATCTTTCTTTCCTACCATGATATTTCCCTTCACTTGATGTCCCCTTTCACGTTGTAACTTTTCAGACTTCTGGGTTTTGTTGTTTGAGATAGGGTCTTGCTCTGTCACTCAGGCTGAAGTACAGTTGTACAATCATATCTCACTGCCTCCTCGACCTCCTGGGGTCAAGTGATCCTTTTTGCTTCAGCCTCTCAAGTAGCTGGGACTGCAGGTGCACACTATGACATCCAGATAATTTGTTTATTTTTATTTTTTGTAGAGGTGTAATCTCACCATGTTGCCCAGGCTGGTCTTAAACTCCTGGCTTAAGTGATTCTCCCTCCTCAGCCTCCCAAAGTACTGGGATCACAGGCGTGAGCCACCATGTCTGGCCAAACTTTTCAGGCTCCTGGGTTTTGTGAGCTGCTTCAATTCCTCTGGGGAATAAGGCAAGGAATAATAACAAGGCACTCAGTAACTCAGTAGTGTGTGGAGCGGATAGCCAGGGTGTTTTTTTCGTTGTTGTTGTTGTTTTTTTGAGACAGAATTTCCCTCTGTTGCCCAGGCTGGAGTGCAGTGGTGCCATCTCGGCTCAAGACAAACTTCTGCCTCCCAGGTTCATGCAAGTCTCCTGCCTCAGCCTCCCATGTAGCTGGGATTACAGGCATCTGCCACCATGCCAGCTAATTTTTGTATTTTTAGTAGAGACAGAGTTTCGCCATGTTGGCCAGGCTGGTCTCGAACTCCTGACTTCATGATCCACCTGCCTTGACCTCCCAGAGTGCTGGGATTACAGGCATGAGCCACTGCGCCTGGCCCAGGTCGTTTTTTTGTTTTTGTTTTGAGATGGAGTCTTGCTCTGTCACCCAGGCTGGATTGCAATGGCATGATCTTGGCTCACTGCAACCCCCACCTCCCAGATTCAAGCAATTCTCCTGTTTCAGCCTCCCAAGTAGCTGGGACTACAGGCGCAGGCCACCATGCCCAGCTAATTTTTGTATTTTTAGTAGAGTTTCACTATATTGGTCATACTGGTCTTAAACTCCTGACCTCAGGTGATTCACCTGCTTCGGCCACTCAAAGTGCTGGGGTTTCAGGCGTGAGCCACCACACCTGGCCCAGGATGGTCTTTTTTAAAGTCTTCTTAATGCTAGACGCACTCCTGCCCACCCCTGGGTGTTCCTCTGGAAAGCCCTCCTTGCTTTTCTTTCTGACACTGCAGACAGAGCTGCATGTGAGGCATCTCTGGTACCCATGTGTATTTTTCGATGGCAAGGAGAAGGGGCACCGATGACTGGGAACATCCTGAGGCTCCCACCAAGCCCTGCAAACCCCACAAGCATGTCACTTTCCCTAGGAAACTCTCACAGCAGCATTCCTAGCAGCAGTGCCCATTTATCAAGGGCCTGCGATGTGCTAAGCCTGTACCACAGCCTCACGCTCAGAGGCTCCCAGGGACGCCATGATTGGGCCACAGTCGCCCAGCAGGAAATGGCAGCACAGGGATCGGATATAGGCCCTTGGCCTCCAGAGCTGGCTTTCTGAGACGCCTAGCTTCATCTGGACCCAAAGGGCTCTACGGAAGTGCTCAACTGAAGCTCCCCACTGAAGCCCCCTGTGGGGATGGACTTGGGAGAGGCCTCTTGGAGACCCCTAATCCATACGGGCTGAACTGAGCCCTGATGGGAGTGGGCAGCTCTGTGGGAGGCTTCCCAAAGACTGGCAGGCTCGGTCTGCCTGTCTGCCTGGGATGTGGATTTCAGGGTTCTCTCATCATTCCCCTCACTCCTTCCCAAGGAAAGGCTGTGGGGCTCCTGCCTGCTACCCGCCTCTAATCCCTATTCCCCAGGGGCTTCCCCGGCGCTCCTCACATGCCCCCATCCAGTGGTCCAGGAACCTCCTGCCAAGCATGCATCTGCTCCTTTAGCAGATGGGACTGGCACTGGGCACCCTGGCCAAGGTGGTCCTTGCTTGCCCTCTGTGGCAGGGAGAAAGAGACAGACATGCAGCTAGGCAGGGACAGGTGAAGACAGGAGCCCTGGGCTGGTTCAGGCCTGGGGAGATGAGAAGATCTAGGGAGGCACCAGTCTGATGAGAGGTGAGGGGCTTATACAGATGGTGGGGAGGGCTGGGCAGGGGCAGGCACTGGGTGGGGAATTCTGCTTCCCCCAGTTCATTGTCCACAGCCTCCTAACACCAGCCACCTAGCCTTCCCCCATATGGATTCTTCCCAACTGGGCCTGATTCCGGCCCATCCCTGGAGTCAGGCACCACAGACTGTATCCAGCTCACAGGGGTGTTTGTTGTGGACTCCTCTGCTGGCCCATGCCAGTGACCACTAAGTATGATCTCTCCTGGCCAGGAATCATGGCTCCACACCAGCAGTAACTTACCTCCTGCAGCCATGAATGGGGGTCACAGCTCACATGCTTGGGGTGTAGTGGGTCCTTGGACATCCTCATGGTGACTCTCACTGATTGCAGCCAGGCAGCCTCTTGAAGGCTGGTCTTACAGCCATCAGGACATGAGGAGGCTGGGCAGAGCTGGGCTTCCAAGCATCTGAAGGTTTCTTCTCTTGGGTTCGAAACTTCCTTCCAGGGCTGTGTCAGCTGTGCAAGTTACTTACATTCTCTGTACCTTGGACTGGGTGCAGTGGCTCACGCCTGTAATCCCAGTACCTTGGGAGGCCAAGGTGGGAGGATCGCTTGAACCCAGGAGTTCCAGACCAGCCTGGGCAACATAGTGAGACCTCTTATCTATAAAAAAATTAAAAAATTGGCCAGGTACAGTGGCTCACGCCTGTAATCCCAGTATTTTGGGAGGCCGAGGTGGGCGAATCACAAGGGCAGGCATTCGAGACCAGCCTGGCCAACATGGCAAAACCCCATCTCTATTAAAAATACAAAAAATATACAAAACTTAGCCAGGTATGGTGGCGGGGGCCTGTAGTCTCAGCTACTCCAGAGGCTGAGGCAGGAGAATCACTTGAACCCAGGAGGCAGAGGTTGCAGTGAGCTGAGATCATGCCACTGCACTCCAGCCTGGGTAACAAAGAGAATCCATCTCAAAAAAAAAAAATTAATAATTAGCTGCGTGTAGTGGCACACACCTGTGGTCCCAGCTACTTGGGAGGCTGAGGTGGGAGGATCACTTGAGCCCTGAAGGTCGAGGCTGCAGTGAGCCATGATCACACCAGTGTAGCCTGGGCCACAGAGCGAAACCCTGTCTCAAAAAGAAGAAAAGAACCTGTCTCAAAAAAGAAACAAAAAAAACGATAAAAAAAAAAAAAACACCCTCTGCTTCTCGGCTTCCTTCTCTGTGAAGGGAATATTAATTGTCCTGACTTGTGGTATGCAGTCCAAAATTGTGGGATGCAGTAAGATGATACAAAGAGAAAAACAAGATAACTTGTTAAATTCGGGGAGACAAAATGTATACATATAAAACTCCCATTTCTGGCCAGGCGTGGTGGCTCACGCCTGTAATCCAAGCACTTTGGAGGCCAAGGCGGGCAGATCTCCTGAGGTTGGGAGTTCAAGACCAGACTGACCAACATGGTGAAACCCCATCTTTAAAAATAAAAATTAAAGCCGGGCGCGGTGGCTCAAGCCTGTAATCCCAGCACTTTGGGAGGCCGAGGCGGGTGGATCACGA